ACAGCAGAGAAGGCAAAAAGTGTACATACACCACATTACCCCACTGGTTACATCATGTTTAACTCAATTTTCTAATGTCTGAGCCAGGGTCCAGGTTTATCTGCATTGTGAGGCATCAGCCATGCTGTTGGCAACTGCCTAATAATAAATAAAATTGAGGGAAGGGGTTACTGCAGAGAAAAAACAGTTCTGGAATATTCTAAGAAATGTAAGAAATAGTCATAATTTTTCTACCATTACACACATTCACCATTCTGACGGCAGCTACTTAGGAAAGGATAATACACAAAAGACAAAATGCATTTTAAAACACACCCCCAAAAATTCAAAAACTAATAATCAAACAATACAATCTGAATAAGCTTACCTGGATTCCGGGAAAAAAAAAAAAAAAAAGGTGAAAGGACTTTGACGAAGGAATATTTACTGATCATATCAGAATGGATCTTCAACACAAGGGAAAATACTAGGTCAGTGGGGGAAGTAGCTCAATTAAGAATTCCAGGCAGGTACAGCAAATTTAGGTGAGGGCAGAAGAACAGTACTATGATTAAGAAAGAAGGTCCAAGATGCCAGGGACTAATGACAGGAAACTTAAACTTTACATGGTGGGAAGGTTAAGTATTAAATGCAAAATGAAACCATTCCACTGCCTGTATGTTAAAAAAAAAACAAACCAACCAATGACAAAAACCTTATTCCAAGTCATGAGTAACTGAAAGTGCACTAATGAAATGCAGTTCATTAATTCATTAATGAGTGAACTAATAAACATAAAGTATACAGCCTGGAACCCTTTACAGCGGAGTTATTGAACAAGTTGCTGAACACCATTCTGCGCTGTCTGCATTTGACTCTCAGCAGTGATTCAACTGACAAACATCAGTGGAATGTGAGTTGGCAGAAGGGCCAATGAATGCAAGGAGGTAAGAACATAGGCTGAGCTTACAATAATCAGAAAAAGAAACATCGGTTGTAAAAAAACAAATGAGAGAAACAGAAACAGTATCTCTCCTGAAAAGACCACAAAGATGTCTCTAACCACAAGCACAAAATTACAATAACAAGTACAAATTTACAGTAATAAATTTATGATAATATATTACCGATCATAAATTTATGATCAATTTATGATAATTTTGTCAGTGCTTTGTAGTGAAAACAGACTTAGAACATGGACTTAAAATAGGGCATAAAGTTAGATTTTTCTCCACATGAAGGCAGTGTGGAGACACTTCATTCTGTTTTAGCTTTAAAGACTGACTTTCCAGTATCACTTCAGGATTTGTGTTTGTTTTTTCTTACAGCGCTCTAATTACTGTTTGACCAAAATTTGCCTGTGGCACTGTAATTTTTGTTTTGTCAAAGGGCAGTGCTTAAACGAGTGTACGTGTTATGTTTATGCAACAGAAAAAAAAAGCTCTAATGAATATTTTTTTAAATTCTAATACACTTCTTTGCATGATGGAAATTTTAAGCATATAATGAAAAGTATCTTCCATTCCATGAAAAAAATCTGTCAGATCATATTTCAAAATTGAAGAGATGTGTTTGCTTGAACTGTATCGCTATCACAACTACTGCAAGAAATTGCATGAAATTTTCAACACAGCAAGACAAAACCCTACTTAGAGATGAAAAAGTGAAAAAAAAACACCAACCCAAACCCCACCAAACTGTAAGTTACAAAGTTAAGGATAAAGTGTTGAAGGCCTGCAGAAAGAGGCAGTGAGATTTACAGAAAAAACTCAACACTGATAACATTGATCATGGCAACACCAATGAGCCCTGGAGAAAAAAAGAATAGCTGTGTATGGGAAAATGTAATAAGTAAAATTTCAAGGGAAAACACATGTGGTAATATGATTCTGTGTGGAACATAAAGGGAACAAAAATTATTAGGTAGAAAACTAGAACAGTGGAATGAAAACAAAATACTTTTTTTTTTTGTCTCTCTAGGGAATAAAATTAAGAAAGAAGCAGTTTCAGAAGTCTGACATAAGCACCTGAAACACTGCAAGTAAACTTTTTGTGAAAGAGTAAAAGGAACACTTATTCCTCTGATCTTGGCTTCTTAATGAACTGAGGACATGGAAGCTGTACAGCCATTCTTGGTAGTCCTTAAAATGCAATTAGAAATTTTGTGTCAAATACCATTCATGTGGCACTGAAAATCACTTCTGAATTTTTACAAAAGACGTCACAGGTACTGTAGAAGAGGAAGTGGAGAAGTACATATCCATCTAAAACCCAGAAACAAACAGCTTAAACATAGTTTATAGTACTGTATTTGACAATCACATTGAAAGAACAAAGAAACCTAGAGGTATTGAAAAATACACCAGCTAAAAAGACTGCTCCCTAGACCCATGAGACCTAAGTTACCCTTGTAACTAAGATAAAACATAATGCCTTAAGAGATATCTAGCTACTATAAAGAGATCACAATAGAAAAGAGGAAAATACTTCAGGCTTTTTATGAAAAAAAAAATAAAATAGAGGGAGAGAGTAAGTGAAATCCAAACATCAAATATCATTAAAATGAAGACAACATGTTCTTAATTTCTTAAATCTACACTTGAAGTATACACTTTGTGTATTTTAAAGTGAACATAAATGTGAAATGTTTGAGGTCAAATGTTTGAGTTACTCTGATTCCACATATTTCACGTGCTAGCAAAAAGAAAAAACCACCAAACACAAAACCTAGAAAATATTTAATTCTCAAAGGTGACAGTCATCATAGAAGTACGCAACTTCTTCACTAGAAGCTAATTTACAGTACTGTGTGCTGAAATTTATTGTACTGTATGCTGAAGACTCCTCCAACCTGTTAAAAGCCCTTAAGAACTGCTATTAGTTGCCAGTTAGGTAATGGCTAGTAGCTAGTAGATGTTAATAAGAATTAAACTGTTTATATTAAAGTGAATGTTTACAAGAATTAAAATGAATACCTTTACTGTGCTGACAACTCAGAAGGTAAGGTAAAGATGTGGCACAGTGCAAAACAGAAAATGCAACTTATTTTCATTCTCCACCAATAAAATGCAAGCAATAAACACAGCCATTGTATTCTGCATATTCAAGTAGATGTTCAGAGGTTTTTCAGTGCCACGTACCAAAAACGCATGTCAGAGGTTGTTGATGGTTAGATTATCACGCTTGCACACAAAAACACAGAATGTTGAGGAAACAGAAGATGGGAAGAACTTCAGTAAGCATTATGGCTACCAGAAAACTTTATAAACAGCAACACTAGACCCGTCTAAGGCCCAGCAGAACTATTTATCCATTCTGGTATGTGGGAAACTCAGCTTCAAAACCAAGTTTCAATGTGCTCCCAAATTTTAGATGTCAGAAGCTAGGTGGTTTTAGTTTTTTTTTCAACAGGAATACCTACGTTTTGTAGCACTGGTGAGCTGAAAACTACAGATCTAAGCTGCAGTGACACACACCAAGCACTTGGGAAAGATTTGCCATACATATCTCAGTTTACAGGTCTTAAATACAAAGCTGGTACCTCTGAGTATGAAGTGCCTTGTTCACTCTCACATACGGTTTTATGAAAGTAGAGAGAGCAGCATTCAGCTCTCTAAGCAGGCAATTCAGTCCTTTCTTTGACTGAATCAGGATGTGTAGGTTCTACATTCCAACCATTTTAAAAAAGGAGTTAAAAGCATTCTACAGAGCTAATTTTATTGTGAAGTGGCAACAGTAGTCTTAAAAAGCTGGGCCAGATGATCCTTGTTAATGCGCTATCCATTCAGCACACTACATGACAATGGAATCACGTAAGAAAGTCACCTCTCAAATAAATAAGGGACCAAAACAAAGTTTCACAAACATTCACAATACCGGCATTGCTAAATTTCTGAATTCTAAATTGAATGCTTGAGGTACAAGCTGACTGTTATCTTGACCTTTTCGGGGTGCTCTTTAATGTAAAAAACCCCAAATCAAATCCTGACTTACACAATGAAGAGTTAGAACCAGCCTGATCATGGGGGTTAGGAATGCCTTCCAAAATACGTCTGGCCACCTTCCCTGAGGATCAGCCACCATGTAGTACAAGGCACTGTGAAAGTTTCGCTGAGATACAGACATAAAAGGTACTCGGGATCAGAAATCCACTCCTAACTCTGCTGAGTAACAGAAGTGGTGACTTTTTCACAGGATCTGAGTCGGGCGGGCATGTCCCGCTCACCTCCCTTCGCCACTCGCCTGGGTCAGCCCCGGGACCTAGCGCCCGCGGCCTGAGGAAGGAAATGCCCTTCCCCGCGCCAGGCCGAGGCGCGAATTCGGGCCCCTCAGCTGGGCACCTACCAGCCTCACGGCCGCCTCGGACATGCGCAGCGGTCCCCGACCCCGGTCGCACTGCAAGGGGAGGGGAAAGGCAGCCCCCGCCGGGGCCACTTACCCGGCAGGGCTTCCCCCTCACCTCCGCGCTGTCAGCCCCGGCTACAGCGGAGCGCCAGTGACAACGTCCCGGAACGGCCGCACCGCCACATCCGGAGGCGGGGCAGGGAGGAAGGCGGGAACGCGCCGGGGGACGAGCGCGGGATCTAGCGTCCGGCTCGGCGGGGAGCAGCGTGAGGAATCAGGGGGAGCCCGCTGCCGCTGCTATAGCGGTTGTACTTGAGGCCAGCGGCTCCCCCCGCCGCGAAGCGTGAGGCCATTCGCTACCTGCGGCTTCCGCTTGGGCTCGCCGCGTCGCTGGGCGCTTCTCGCCGGGATTCCGCTGGGGAGTGGGGTAGCTTTCCCTCATGGCGGGAGAGCGGGCGGGTGGAGGGAGCGGCGCTTTTCCACATGGCAGGCGGAGGAGGAGAAGGGGGAGTCGCTTTACCTCATGGCAGGCCGAGTGGCCCCTAGAGCTGCCGGGGTTCATCGGGCGGAGGCTTTAACGGGCGCAGCCTCCGGCTGGGCGGGGATGCTGCCCCTTACTGCCGTTGGGACGGGGTAGCGGCTTCAGCTGCGGCTAACCGCCGCCCTGTGGTGTTCGAGCCTGGCGGCGGATTTCCCCTTTTGATCCTAGCAACGTTCCGTGAGTTGTATTTTTTGTGTTAATGTTTCCGTCTCGTGTGTTTAGCTTGTAACAGATGGCAAGTGCGGGGCAGAAGCGGATAATCCAATTCACTGGATTTAAAAAATGGGAGAAAAAGGCGCTGCTGAAATGGCTGCTCAAACTGGACTGTGTGTTCATAGATACGAAGGTATTGTTCACTAAAGTAACTGCTGGTTAGCGCAGAAAATAAAAATATGAACCTTAAAAGAAAGGACCACGCAGGAGTTTAGACTTGTGTATGAATAACCAAGGAAGTTGGAACTGTTTCCAGTGATGCAAGTGTGTTTATTTGTTTTTATTTTGTTAGAAATACAGGAATTGTACACACCTTATAGCAAAAAAGCTGTGCAAGAGCGAAAAGTTCTTAGCTGCATGTTCTGCTGGTGAGTAAAAGGTTTCCCTTAAAATTTCTTAGCACCATAACGTAGGACTGGAAAGGACCCCTAAAATGTGTCTCGTTACTTGCTTTTATTTCGGGTATGAATGGCCTTACAAACCCTTGTGCTTGTTGCATTAACCTTAGTTTTTAACATAGCATTGTGTTCAAGTTTTGATTTACCTATTTTTGATTTGGGTATTTTCTTAAATGATATTCCTGCCATCTTCCTTATTTGATCCACATATGTTCCTAGGTGCGTTTTTTTTATATTAGCATACTAACATATATTAGCATACTAACATACTTAGATCATGAAGTCAAAGGCAAATGATATAAGTACTTAAAAACAGATTGCTTGAGAAGGGGGCAGGAAGAGTATGGCCACCTGTAGTCAGCGTGGGGTTTTGACACAAATTCACTTGCAGCATTCGCTGGCAAAGGTCACTGTCTGTACATTCCTGTTCATGCAGCAAGAGAAAATTCCAGGTTTGTTTTTTTCTGATACAAGCCTCTGGTATTTACTCTTGCTTTTTTCTTTTTTTTTTTAATGTAAGTCCTGATGGGCAAACAGAGCGGGTCAAGGCAGTTCGCATGGGCAGGCGAGCGGGATGGTGAGCACTCGCCGTATGACCAGGGCCCGGTCTGGGAGCTCTGCTCTGGCTGCCCCGGCGGTGGCCACCGTAGGCACTCAGACAGAGCCGATGAGCGGGGAGGCTGCAGTGCAGACTTCGGGGTGTAGAGAATGCCTGCACTGGTCTGGTGAGGGAAAGGTACACAGTGGGCAGGGCTGCACTCGGTGCTCCCTGGTGGAGGCTCTCCTGCAGCAGGTGACTGAGCTGCAGGAAGCTATCAATAGGCTACAAGATGTCAGGGTAGCTGAGAGGAAGCAGAAATGCTTGCTCCCTGCCCAGATTGTGCGGAGTCCTCAAGCTTCCCCTGTAGCTCATGGAGGAAAGAAGCTGGGAATTGGTGACAAAATAAAACAACAAAAAAAGGAGGAAAAGGACAATTAAAAGCAAGGCACTTCCTCCTGAACCTGTTGCCCCCACGCAGAACCGCTTTGCTGCCCTGCAGGGGGCTCATGAGGAAACGCAGTTGCGCCAGAAACAGCTGGCTGATGCACTATTAAAGAAGATTTCTACTGGTGCTGCCAGGAAAAAGCGGTGGGTCGTAGTAGTAGGGGATTCTACTTTGAAAGGGACAGAAGCACTCATCTGTCGGCCTGACCCGGTCTCAAGGGAGGTGTGTTGCCTACCAGGGGCACAGATCAGGGATGTGGCAGAGAGGCTGCATGCTCTGGTAAGCCCCACAGACTATTACCCACTTCTGATGATACATGTGAGTGCTAGGGATATAGATAGTAGTAGCCTGGGGAACATAAAGAAGGACTACAGAGCCCTGGGAGAGGTGGTTAAGGGCTCTGGAGCTCAGATTGTCTTCTCATCTATTCTCCAGGATACAGGGGAGGACCTAAAAAAAGCTAGGATGATTAGCCAGGTTAATAAATGGTTAAAAGGGTGGTGCCATAGTCAGGGGTTTGGGTGTCTTGAGCATGGGACCCAAATTTGTACACCAGGTCTAGCGGGGGCTGGTGGAGCTGGTCTGATAAAGAAGGGGAAGAGCAGTTTTGGTAGGAGGCTTGCCAGACTGGTTAAGGAGGCTTTAAACTAGATGTGTTGGGGGAGGGGGACATCATTCCATCTCAACACTCCCAGTCAGTTGCCAGCACCTATAATAAATGCTTGGACCAATGCAGAGATATTCCGGCTGCTCCAGCCAATGGGCCGGCTTCATTTGGAGCTCAGCTCAGATGCCTCTATACAAATGCCTGTAGCATGGGGAACAAACAAGAGGAATTAGAGACGTGTGCTCGTCTACGGGACTATGATATAATAGGCATCACAGAAACATGGTGGGATGGCTCCTATGACTGGAGTGTTGGAATGGAAGGTTACAGGCTCTTTAGACAAGACAGTCCTGGCAGGCACAGAGGGGGAGTTGCCCTTTATGTTAGGAATAGGCTGGAGAGTATGGAACTCCATCCGGGGACAGGTGAGCAGTTAACAGAGAGCTTGTGGGTCAGGGTTAAAGGAAAAACAGCAATGGGAGACATTACAGTGGGGATATGTTATAGACCACCTGATCAAGAGGAATCTGTGGATGAAGCACTCTATAGGCAGATAGGAAAAGCCTCACGCCCACAGGCCCTCGTTCTCATGGGTGACTTCAACCACCCTGACATCTGTTGGAATGATGGTATGGCCTGGCACAAGCAATCCAGGAGGTTCCTCGATTGTGTGGATGACAACTTCCTTCTGCAAGTAATAGAGGAACTGATAAGGAGAAGTGCCATGCTTGACCTCATGCTCACCAACAGGGAAGGGCTCGTTGGAAATGTGGCACTGCAGGGCAGCCTTGGATGCAGCGACCATGAGGTGGTTGAATTTGAGATCCTTAGGACAGTGAGAAGAGCGTGCAGCAAGCTCACTGCCCTAGACTTCAAAAGAGCAGACTTTAGCCTCTTCAGGAACCTGCTTAGTAAGGTTTCATGGGATATAGCCCTAGAGGGCAGGGGGTCTCAAGACTCTTGGTTGGTCTTCAAGGATCACCTGCTACAGGCTCAGGAGTTTTGCATCCCAACTAGAAGGAAGTGCAGCAGGAGGGCCAGGAGACCTCCTTGGATGGACAAGGAGCTCCTGAGGAAAATTCAAATGAAAAAACAGTTTTATAGAAAGTCGAAGCAAGGACAGGTGGCCTGGGAAGAGTACAGGGATATTGTCCGGGAAGCTCAGGACCAGGTTAGGAAAGCTAAGACCCAGTTAGAATTAAACTTGGCTAGGGATATTAAGGATAACAGGAAGGGATTCTACAGGTACATAGCAAATAAAAAACAGATTAGGGAGAATGTAGGCCCCCTCAGGAAGCTCCCAGGTGAACTAGCTACACAGGATTTGGGGAAGGCATAGTTCTGACTGACTTCTCTGCCTCACAGTATCACAGTATGCTAGAGATTCGAAGGGACCTCAAAAGATCATCTAGTCCAATCCCCCTGCCGGAGCAGGAACACCTAGATAAGGTTACACAGGAACGTGTCCAGGCGGGTTTTGAATGTCTCCAGAGAAGGAGACTCCACAACCTCCCTGGGCAGCCTGTTCCAGTGTTCCGTCACCCTCACTGAGAAGAAGTTTCTTCTCAAGTTTAAGTGGAACCTCTTGTGTTCCAGTTTGTACCCATTGCCCCTTGTCCTTTCATTGTTTGCCACTGAGAAGAGCCTGGCTCCATCCTCGTGACACTCCCCCTTTATATATTTATATACACTAATAAGGTCACCCCTCAATCTCCTCTTCTCCAAACTATAGAGACCCAGCTCCCTCAGTCTTTCCTCATAAGGGAGATGCTCCACTCCCTTAATCATCTTAGTTGCCCTGCGCTGGACTCTCTCCAGCAGGTCCCTGTCCTTTTTAAACTGAGGGGCCCAGAACTGGACACAATATTCCAGATGCGATCTCACCAGGGCAGAGTAGAGGGGAAGGAGGACCTCTCTCGACCTACTAACCACCCCCCTTCTAATACACCCCAGGATGCCATTGGCCTTCTTGGCCACAAGGGCACAGTGTTGGCTCATGGTCATCCTGTCGTCCACTAGGACCCCCAGGTCCCTCTCCCCTACACTGCTCTCTAACAGGTCGTTCCCTAACCTATACTGGAACCTGGGGTTGTTCCTGCCCAGATGCAGGACTCTACACTTTCCCTTGTTATATTTCATCAAGTTATTTCCCTCCCAACTCTCCAGCCTGTCCAGGTCTCACTGGATGGCAGCACAGCCTTCTGGTGTGTCAGCCACTCCTCCCAGCTTAGTGTCATCAGCAAACTTGCTGATAGTACACTCAATTCCCTCATCTAAATCGTTGATGAATATATTAAGTAATACTGGTCCCAGTACTGACCCTTGAGGCACTCCACTAGATACAGGCCTCCAACTAGACTCCGCCCCACAGACTACAACTCTCTGGCTTCTCTCCTTCAGCCAGTTCACAGTCCACCTCACTACCCGATCATCCAGACCACACTTCCTCAATTTAGCTGCGAGGATGCTGTGGGAGACTGTGTCAAATGCTTTGCTGAAGTCAAGGTAGACCACATCCACCGCTCTGCCATCATCCATCCACCGTGTTATTTCCTCATAAAAGGCTACGAGATTGGTCAAGTATGACTTCCCCTTGGTGAAGCCATGTTGACTTCCCCTCATAACCCTCGTATCCTTGATATGCCTTAAGATAGCACCAAGGATAAGGTGTTCCATCACTTTCCCAGAAATGGAGGTGAGGCTGACTGTCTATAGTTACTCGGGTCCTCCTTCTTGCCCTTTTTGAAGACAGGAGTGACATTTGCTTTCCTCCAGTCCTCAGGCACCTCTCCTGTTTCCCAAGACTTGGTAAAGATGATGGAGAGCGGTCTAGCAATGACCTCAGCCAGTTCCCTCAGCACCCGCGGGTGCATCCCATCTGGACCCATGGATTTATGGATGTCCAGATTGCTCAACTGGTCTCTAACCCATTCCTCATCGACTAAGGCAAACCGCTCCGTTGACCTGACTTCATCTGAGGTCTCAGCGGTACAGGGCTCTTCAGGACTGCCTCCAGCAGAGTAGACAGAGACAAAGAAGGCATTCAGTAACTCTGCCATCTCTGTATCTTCTGTCACCAGGGCACCCGTCCCGTTCATCAGCGGGCCTACATTGCCTCTGGTGTTAGTTTTATCTGCCATGTATTTGAAAAAGCTCTTTCTGCTGTCCTTGACCCCTCTCGCCAGCTTTAATTCCAAGGAGGCCTTAGTCATCCTAGCTGCCTTCCTACATCCTCTAGCAGCAGCCTTATATTCCTCCCAAGTGGCCAGCCCCTCCTTCCATGACCTGTAAACTCTTCTCTTCCACTTCAGCATACCCAGCAATTCCCTATTTAGCCACGCAGGTCTCCTGACCCTCTTCCTTGACTTCCTATGTGTCGGGATGCTCTGATCTTGAGCTCGGAAAAAGCAGTCCTTGAACGTCAACCAACTATCTTGGGCCCCTTTACCTTCAAGCAGCCTAGCCCATGGGATTTCCCCTAGCAATTGCTTGAAGAGGCCAAAGTTTGCCCTGCTAAAGTCCAGGGTTGCAATTCTACTTGCTATTCTACTGGCCCTACCACACAAGATCCTGAATTCCACCATCTCGTGGTCGCTGCAACCAAGGCAGCCCTCAATCTTCACTGCTTCGACCAGACCCTCCTTGTTAGTGAGGATGAGATCCAGCAGTGCTCCTCTCCTGGTTGGCTTATCCATCATTTGCATGAGGAAGTTATCATCCATACACTGGAGGGACCTCCTGGACTGCAGCTGGGTTGCTGAGTAGTCCTTCCAGCAAACATCAGGGAAGTTAAAATCCCCCACGACGACCATGGCCTGTGACTGTGAGGCCGCTCTTAGCTGCCTGTAGAAGGCCTCGTCAACTTCCTCACCCTGATCCGGTGGCCTGTAACAGACCCCCACAACAGTGTTGCCCCTGCCAGCCTGGCCCTTAATTCTCAGCCACAGACTCTCAACTCGCTCGTCATCTGTCCCCGGACAGAACTCAGCGCATTGTAGCTGCTCTCGTACATAAAGAGCAACCCCACCACCCTGCCTGGCTGGCCTGTCTTTCCTGAAAAGGACACAGCCCTCCATGACTATTCCAGTCATGAGAGCTGTCCCACCACGTCTCTGTAATTGCCACCAGGTCATAATCTCCTGACTTAACACAGGTTTCTAGCTCCTTCTGCTTATTTCCCATGCTGCGCACATTGGTGTACAGACATTTCAGGGAACAAGCTGAGCACACCGATTTCACCCTAGGATTACAGGAGGCCTCCCAGTCTTCATCAATTCTGGAGTGCTGCCCCACCGGGGCAAGCCCAGCTACAACCCCACCCCCCTTCGAATCTAGTTTAAAGCTCTCCAAATGAGCCCTGCTAATTCGTACCCCAGCATCATTTTGCCTCTGTGAGATAAACCTTTCCCACATGCCATTGTCCAGACTGGTGCCCTATAAAACCAGCCTCGGTCTTCTGTAGCAGAGGCTGTGACCTCACCACCCAAGTCTTGGAAGGCAGACACAGGGACTGTGAGAATGAATACCTTAGGCCCACTGTAGGAGAGGATCTGGTTCAAGACCATCTTAAAAATCTGAACATGCACAAGTCCATGGATCCTGGTGAAATCCATCCACGGGTCCTGAAGGAGCTGGCAAATGAAGTTGCTAAGCCACTGGCCATCATATTTGAAAAATCATGGCAGTCAGGAGAAGTTCCTGACGACTGGAAAAAGGGAAATATAACCCCCATTTTCAAGAAGGGGAAAATGGATGACCCGGGGAATTAGAGAGCAGTCGGTCTCACCTCTGTGCCTGGCAAAATCTTGGAGCAGATGCTCCTGGAAGGCATGCTAAGGCACATGAAAAACAATAAGGTGGTTGGTGACAGCCAGCATGGCTTCACTAAGGGGAAATCCTGCCTGACCAATTTGGTGGCCTTCTATGATGGCGCTACAGAACTGATGAAGAACGGTAAAGTAGTTGATGTCATCTACCTGGATTTGTGTAAAGCGTTCGACACTGTCCCACACGACATCATTGTGTCTAAATTGGAGAGACTTCAATTTGATGAATGGACCAGTCGGTGGGTAAAGAACTGGCTGGATGGTCGCACACAAAGAGTTGTGGTCAATGGCTCAATGTCCAGCTGGAGACCAGTAACGACTGGTGTCCCTCAGGGATTGGTGTTGGGACTGGTCTTGTTTAACATCTTTGTTGGTGACATGGACAGTGGGATTGAGTGCGCCTTCAGCAAGTTTGCCGATGGCACCAAGCTGTGTGGTTCGGTTGATACACTGGAGGGAAGGAATGCCATCCAGAGGGACCTCCACACGCTTGTGAGGTGGGCTCATGCCAAACTCATGAAGTTCAAACATGCCAAGTGCTAGGTCCTACACCTGGGTTGGAGCAATCCCAGGCACAGGTACAGGCTGGGCAGAGAAGAGATTCAGAGCAGCCCTGAGGAGAAGGACTTGGGGGTGCTGGTCAATGAGAAAATGAACATGAGCTGGCTTCAGTGTGCGCTTGCAGCCCAGAAAGCCAACCGTATCCTGGGCTGCATCAAAAGGAGGGTGACCAGCAGGTCAAAGGAGGTGATCCTGCCCCTTTATTCTGCTCTCGTGAGACCTCACTTGGAGGATTGTGTGCAGTTCTGGTGTCCTCAACATAAAAAGGACATGGATCTGTTGGAACAAGTCCAGAGGAGGGCCACGAGAATGATTAGGGGACTGGAGCACCTCCCAAGTGTAGAAAGGTATGTCATCCTCATAAGAAAAACAGTTTCGGTGGCATTGTAATTCTGAAGTGTAAAGAGGAGAACTCTTGTAGCAGGAAGAAGTTTTAGAAATGCTACTCATAATTCTAGCTTTTACTTGCACAAGAAAGGTTGAAGTTAATTTTATATTAGATCTTCAATTGATTGCCATTTGTCTGCACAAAAAATCTTTCGTGGTTGACAGTTCATTTGCTTTTTAGGAAAGTGGATACTAACTAAGGAGTACATAATTAATAGTGCTGAAAGTGGCAGATGGCTTGATGAAACAATGTACGAATGGGGATATGAAATTGAAGAAGACACCCATTATTCACCTCAAATGCAATCTGCACCTAAAAGGTGGCGTGAAAAACTGACACACTCTGGTGCTCCAGGGGCCTTCCACAGTTGGAAAGTTGTCCTCCTCGTTAAGGAAGGTGGTAAACAAATGGCATCTATTAGAAGGTAGGAAGATACTTTTTAGAGCTTAAATGATGAATGATGGAACACTTACTGTATGGTTGAACACATTTCTGTTCTTCCATCACAGTTAATTTGGTCTATAACAGCCTCCATCTCTTTAAACTCTGAATTGTTTTCACTACACATACACTAATATATTTCCATACTTTTTATAATTAAATGACTTCAAATCTTTAGCATCTCTGCTTTTCTTGCTTTCTTTCAGTACAGTGTCAAAAATAACATGTTCACATATGTTTGTGTCTTAAGGAAACTGCTTACGGAAACTTTCTTCATGAGGCAGGATAAATAGGCTTGTGTTTTTTGTAAGTAATTGCTTATTTTGTGTAGATGTTACATTCAAATAGTAGCTAGAACAGGATAAGTAATTTCACTTGGGTGGGTGACCTGAGCCAGCTGTGAAATGTGTGTTACAGTTCTGGGCCACGCTGTGTCTGACCTGAGAGGCTGCTGTGTCACATCTACATAACAGCTTCTTGTAGGTCTGAAGACCACATTTGTACTGTAATGGATGTTTATGATATTATGTAATTACAGGTAAGTAGAGATGGATCAGAAGGGAAAGGGCAAAAGTATAAAGGAAAAGCAGAGAAAAGGAAAACAACTGAAGGGCAAGAATTCTGGGACTGCCTTCCCCCCAGCTCCCCCCCCCCCCCCTACTCTTACCGACACATTAGGGTTCCATGGTTTGAATGCTACATTGAACTGCAAACAGAGTATAAGTAGTGTTTGCTTCTAGTACACTGTCTTAGCGCTTTGCATTCACTGCAGGAGCAGATACTGGGCTGCTCTCCTCTGTAGAGATTCCAGTTACAAATAGTCAGGTCTGGGAATGTCACAGATATAGGGGCAAGAAGGGAAGTGCAGTTTGTCCAGTTGATCATGGTACGGGTCTGCATGCTGCATCACAGAGTGTCATCTGTCTAGTTCATGAAGACAAAGTGACGTGTATCTGAAGATACCGTCTTCTGATTTTGTCAATTGAAGACATTCTAAGTGTGCTATTTTCTTGGCTGAGCAGATTTTACTATGTTGGTTTTTTTTTCTCTCCAGCAAGTTCTGTTTTCAGTCATTAAAGTCATTATAGCTTTGGGGAAAGAGTTTTTTCTCTAGTATTTAATAAAACTCTTTCCTGTTTCCCTCCTTCTATGCCCTTCCTGCCTTTAGTCGCTAGCTGTTGGATGAGTAACTGTGCAGCACCAACATAATTTTCTTTTTACATACCTGGACTGTATATATATCCGGCATGTCAAGAGATCTTATTTCTTCTCGATTTTGTTTTTTTTTTTTTGTCTGTCATCTTTTCTAAATGATAGGAATGGTTGCAGCACTACAACTCTGGAGAAACTTACATGTAATAGTGTCTCAAAGACAAACCGGTTTTCTATGTGTGATATAGGACAGCACCAAATGCTGTTAAATGACTCCAGAATGGATCAGAAGTGCCATGTTTGTATTACGTAAATATCATGTTACAGTTAGAAAGACTATCGTCATTGTGGGGAACATAATGCAGTAAATCATAGCTGCTGTCACCAAATTTGATCTTTGAAAAAACGCACAGGTAAAGCTTTCTGTGAGCTATGTAGGAGGTGTACATTGATTTTAATTGATAGTGTTAAATTGTGAAGAGAAGGAAGAAAAGGTTCTTTTCCTTTCCTGAAGGCTATTAAGTGCCCTACTAAAGGCTGGGCAGTGCCATGCATCTAGAACCATTTCTCACTTCTACTTGCATGCTTCTAGTTTGTGTATGTAGCTTTAGGCATTATTAAAGTAATGCAGTAAACATCTTCCCAAATATGTTTGTTTAGAGTTCTTCAAGCTGGAAAGGCAACGGTATGTTCATCGCAAAAAGCAGAGGACAATATAACTCACATTTTCGTCAGTAATAAGACTTTTCCCATGCAAACCAAAAGTTGTCTCTCTGAAGCTCATTACTACCCTGTGCAATATCTAGGACATTACATTTTTGAGGTAAGTAAATTAAAAAACATAACCTAAAATTAGTTTTTTTTTATTGTCACTGTTAGCAATTTGTAATATTTACTGATTATTCAACGCAACATTACTGATTAATGATAGATTAATGGCAATAACAATGGTCAGCCTGAATGTTTTGTGATTTAATTAAAGATAACAAAACATTCTGATTATAGGACTGTTTACCCAAGGTGAGGGAAGGCTGATGAATATATACGAATAGCTGAAGGGAGTGTGAAGGAAGATAGCCAGGCTATCATCAGTGATGCCCTGTGGCGTGGCAAGACAAGTGGTAATGGGCACAAACTGAAGCATAGGAGGTTCTGTCTGAAAGTCAGGAAACACTCGGGTTTTTACTGTGAGGGTGATGGAGCATTGAAAGGGGTTGCTTGAAGAAGCTGTGGAGTCTCCATCTTTTTTTTTTTTTCTTTCTCCTCTTCATGTTCTTCCTTAGCTCCTACTCTGTTCACTAGATTCAACTTGTCTCTTTTCATGTTGGAAAACCTGTTGCTATTCATGACAAAAATTCTTTCATTAGTCAGAAGTTAAAATTCTTGACAATGCAAGCTCTGTATTTCTTGGTTGATAGAGGGTTCTCCAAAGTCACTCTTAACTATATAAAATGAGACAGTACATCATCAGATCCACTAAGGCATGAGGTCCTGGATGGACCTTATTTGAGACAAGCCACACTAAAAGTCATTGCAGAGAGATGAAGTTTTTTTGTTGGAATAGCTGAGGCAGATGAGGAACCCAGTGCAATATCAACTGGTTCAGAGTCTTAGGTTTACCACTGAGCTACAAGCTGCAAAGGTTAAATTTACAGTGGTGCAAAAGACATGGCAGAATGTCCTGGGTTTAGCAGTGGCAGTCATTTTTCTCTTTCTTGGTAGCTGGTGCAGGGCTGTGTTTTGACTTTCAGCTGGGAACAGAGCTGAAAACCAATGATGTTTTGGTTTGGCCAAGGACTTTGTGGGCCTCATGCTCTGCCAGGGAGGAGGGGAGGCCGGGAGGAAGCAGAGACAGGACACCTGACCCAAACTGACCAAAGAGGTATTCCATACCACAGCACGTCATGCCGAGGGGGGAACTGGGAGGGACCCGGAAGGAGAGGGGGTCGGCCGGGTCGGACTGGTGGTTCGGCACGTGGTATTGTACTCCTTTCCTTTGCTGTTTTCTCTTATCATTGTTGTCGTTGGTGGTAGCAGTGGTGATTCGTATTGTACACTAGTTGCTAGACTGTTCTTATCTCAGCCCGTGGGAGTTGCATTCCTTCGATTCTCCTCCCCACCCCTCTGGGAGCGGGGAAAGGGGGCGGCAGCCCCTGGGGAAGGGGGGGGGGCGGACTAACGCCTGGCACCACTCACTGGGAGTAAGTGAACAAGCTGTTTGGTTGGGTTAAACCACGACAGTTCTTTTTGGCGCCCAACGTGGGGCACGAAGGGGCTGAGATAACAACAGATCTGACCGGATTAATAGTCACTCATCACAATGCTGATTTATTGGCTCTCAAAGTTGTTCCTCTTGATCTCACAGCTTCAGAATGTTGTAATTTACTTAGATCTGGTATTTGCTGTATTAGTGTTTTTCAAGTGTGGGGCTTGGGCTAAAGTTCTTGTCTCAGTGTACTTTATGATGATGACTTGTAACACAATAGAATTATTGATCATGAAACTTATCTGGTTTATGTTCCCAGTATGGTCACTACCTTTATACTTTGGGAGGTATATAATAGAAATGCTTAGCAATTACACATATCCTTTCTCCTTCTCGGGTGGTCAACCTGTGAAGGAGGCATTCTTTTACCCTCCCATTCCTCCCCCCAGAGCATTTACAGCATCGTTTGAGAGTTTTGAATGGCCTTTTAATGCTATTGAGACTTGTTTGCTGATTGTGATGGGGATCACAATGTTGGCACGTATACAGAGTGTATTTTGGCCACAACTATTTCATCTGTTTTCAAAAGTTAAGCAGAGTCAGGTTTGGGTCTTGTCTGGGGTTAAACAACGAAGTAGGAGGACCAAGAGATTTTCTCTGAGGCTGGACAGCCATGAGTTGCAGGGTGTGTGGGACAGTATGGGCAAGTATCTAGGTCAGTGGGCCCCTCCAGTACTTTGGAATTTCACCACCGAACAACTGCAAAATCCAGAAGAATTAGTAAAACACTTAAATGAGGTGTGTGGTCAGTCTGGCCATACCAGAGACGGACAAATCATGGCAACGTGCTGGGGCTTGGCCTACGCTTCCAGGGCCATGTTCAATGCTTTCCAGCACCTTCAAAAGGAAAAAAATGTCGCTGGATCTGAGGGCAAAGCAACAGCCAGTACAGATACTCCAGCTCCAAGTACAGCAGCTACACCACCCCCAGCAACAAGTACAGTCGCTACTCAAACCACAGTGATAACAACTGCAACTAAACCAGAGGACCAATTCGTACCAATATCGGTTGCCCCTGTACGCAAGAGAAAAAGCAAAAAGGAGGCAGGAAGGTTAAAGCAAGATGAAGAAACAATGTGTTCACTACTCGATCCAGAACATGATCAGGAGTCATCATCACATGATGAAGAAGAAGAAGGAGAGGTGACTTCTCGACTTCGGACCTCAACCGAGCTACGGAATAAGCGAAAAGATTTTACCCGTCAACCAGGGGAGCACATCATCACCTGGTTGCTCCGATGCTGGGACAATGGGGCCGATGGTCACGAACTAGAAGGTACAGAAGCCAAGCAGTTGGGATCACTTGCTAAAGAAGGGGGAATTGACAAAGCAATTGCAAGAGAGAAAAAGTCCCTCAGTCTTTGGAGGCGGCTCTTGGCAGCTGTCAAAGAAAGGTTTCCATACAAGGACGATGTTATGAGTCGTTCGGCCAAGTGGACTACTATAGACAAAGGTATCCAGTCTCTGAGAGAATCAGCCATCGTAGAGATGATCTATCACATCAAGCTGAATAACGGGAATATACCCATAGATCCAGATGAAGTCGAATGTACACGACCCATGTGGCGAAAACTTACACGGAATGCACCATCATCATACGCCCATTCATTGGCAACAGTAACCTGGAATGACATAGTACCACTAACAGTGGATGAAATGGTTCATAAACTCCGCGAGTTCGAAGACAATCTCACCCCTTCCATCATCTCAGCTGTGGAAAAACTGTCCCAGGATCTCAAACAATTGAGGGACGATATATCTGACTTATCCAACTCCTCGCGTGTGCCAACACACATTTCAGCTATTAGCAAAAGGCGTCCCACTGTTCGAGAAAGGAGATACAAGAGGTATACACCACGGTCTACCCTATGGTTTTACCTGCGGGATCACGGAGAAGACATGACAAAGTGGGATGGAAAACCTACTTCAGTTTTGGAGGAACGGGTGAGTGAATTGAAAAGAGGAGCAAAGGCCAAGACTGAGCATCCCATGAGAGCTACGGCTTCAGTCTCTGGTGAGCAGTTTCCCAGGTGGAGTGGAAGAGCTGATCTTACTCCAGCTTCTGTGATAAAGAAGAATAATCCCTTTCAACATGACTTAAGCGTCCAATCCTGTGATGACTATTAGAGGGGCCCTGCCTCCAGCCAGGTGGAGGTAGGGGACAATCGGATTTACTGGACTGTGTGGATCAGATGGCCTGGCACATCAGTCCCTCAGAAGTATAAGGCTCTAGTAGATACCGGTGCACAGTGTACCCTGATGCCATCGAGCTGTCAAGGGGTGGAACCCATCTATATTTCTGGAGTGACAGGAGGATCCCAAGAGTTGACTGTACTGGAGGCTGAAATCAGCCTGACTGGGAGAGAATGGCAAAAGCACCATATTGTGACTGGCCCAGAGGCTCCATGCATCCTTGGCATAGACTACCTCAAGAGAGGGTACTTCAAAGACCCAAAAGGGTACCGATGGGCTTTTGGTATTGCTGCTTTGGAGACTGAAGAAGTTGAGCAGCTGTCCACCTTGCCTGGTCTCTCAGAAGATCCTTCTGTTGTGGGGCTGCTGAAAGTCGAAGAACAACAAGTGCCAATTGCAACCACAACAGTGCACTGGCGGCAATATCGCACCAACCGAGACTCCCTGATTCCTATCCATCAGCTGATCCGTAGACTGGAGAGTCAGGGAGTGATCAGCAGGACCCGCTCACCCTTTAATAGCCCCATATGGCCAGTGCGAAAGTCTAATGGAGAGTGGAGACTAACAATAGACTATCATGGCCTGAATGAAGTCACACCACCCTTGAGTGCTGCCGTACCAGACATGCTAGAACTTCAGTATGAACTGGAGTCAAAGGCAGCCAAGTGGTATGCCATGATTGATATTGCCAATGCGTTTTTCTCAATTCCTTTGGCAACAGAGTGCAGGCCACAGTTTGCTTTTACTTGGAGGGGTGTCCAGTTCACTTGGAACCGACTGCCCCAGGGCTGGAAACATAGCCCTACCATTTGCCATGGACTGATTCAGACTGCACTGGAACAGGGGCAAGCGCCAGAACACCTGCAATACATTGATGACATTATAGTGTGGGGCGATACAGCAGAAGAAGTCTTTGAGAAAGGGAGGAAAATAATCCAAATCCTGCTGAAAGCCGGTTTTGCCATAAAACGAAGTAATGTCAAGGGACCTGCACAGGAGATTCAATTTCTGGGAATAAAATGGCAAGATGGACGTAGACAGATCCCCACAGATGTAATCAACAAGATAACAGCAATGTCTCCACCAACTAATAAGAAAGAAACACAAGCTTTCTTGGGTGCAGTGGGGATCTGGAGACTGCACATCCCAAATTACAGTTTGATTGTAAGCCCTCTCTATTACGTGACCCGTAAGAAGAATGATTTTAAATGGGGACCTGAGCAACAACAAGCCTTTGAGCAAATTAAACGCGAGATAGTTCATGCAGTGGCCCTTGGACCAGTTCGGACTGGGCCAGATGTAAAAAATGTATTGTACACCGCAGCTGGGGAGAATGGCCCTACCTGGAGCCTCTGGCAGAAAGC